GTGAGCAGTGGCCACGGTTGCTACCGTGGCTCCGCTGGCTGCTCCGTTCTGAATCATCGGTGGGCCGTGCTCCTCAATGATCTGAACACTACTGTTGTTGTCAAGCTCCTCACTCTTGCGTTTAAGCCCACATCTCTGGTAGGTATCTAGAAGCCTGACCGTGCTGCGGCGGGTTAAGTTGTGAACACCAACCCCAACACCCACAGCACTGCCACCACCACCGCCACCTCCACCTCCACTACTGTTGCTGCTGCTGCCTCCACCCCCACTTCTCAACAGAGACCCCACGGCCCCTGATGTGCTGCTGGCTGAGGCAACCACAATGTGGCCCGCACTGGCTGGAAAGATAAGCGCCTGCTCGTAGGGCAGGGCGGAGCTGGCGACCTGCAGGGAGCTGTTGATGCCTAGGGGGCCACTGGTGGCTGACACGTTCTTGCTGCTGTTGTGGCTATAGACTTTGCTGTGTGTGCCGTACCCTGTCATATCCCAGTTACAACTCTGCTCCACCTTCAGTTTCTTCACGCTAAAGAAGGCACTTGACTGGAGAGTGTGAGGGGAGAACACTTGCACTTGCGAGGCCATACCTGTAACAAGAGGGGAAGAGAGGGGAGGAGCAAGGAGAACAGGAGGGGAATGAAAGCGAGAGGTTAGGAATTTGAAAGTGTCTGAAACATGAGTGGTAGCCATAAGCTTTAAATAAAGACAGCTTGGTTCTTAGAAGGCCATTAAAACACCAAGCATACATGCTGATGTGTGAGCAAGGAAGTGGCTTGAACTCTAACATCATAGTCAAGTTACAGGCATTAAATAAAATATCATTTTTGCTTTGGCATTTGAGTTTTTCTTAGCAGCATTATCATCTAATGTTTTTGTAATAAAGCATCAGATCTTTAAAACTGGTGGGAAAGAGATTGTTTTCTATACAATATATTACAGTTTTTATATTGGTATGCAACATAAATAACATCTAGATTGTTTAGCAAAAAGGTAAGTAGGCTTAGACTGAGTGGTGCTTACACAAACCACTAGTTCATGCGGAGGAAATTCCATTTTCCCACTGTTCCCATCTGCAGCAAAGTAAATAAGAAGACCCTTTCATGGGACACACCACAGAGATAGAGAAGCAACACAAAATCATACACAAAAACAGTTCCCAAAAAGTCTCAAAGAATGATTGCAATTTCCTTCCAAACTTCACACCTCAGCCCTTCCATTTACTGGTACACAATTACTCACTTTAGGGGAGGTGGTGTTACAAATTTCATTCAAGTAACTATACAACAGGAGAGGGGCACTGAACTCCCTCTCCACCACAGATCCTGAAGACAACAACACAAAAGCACAACTGCAGCGAGGCTGTGCTCTGAACTCCTGGGAACAAGCAGCCTGAGAATAAGCAAAAGCTTCTCCAAGCAAACAACTACCCCAAAATAGTTCCTTTCTTTATCTCCCCCTTTTACAGACATGTTTGTAACATTGAAATGATTATTACAGCACATGGCAGATTATATGAGACCTGCAATAATGCTACATTTAAACAGTCTCCAGTAAACCCAAAATTTGTTTACTGCTAACAATCTAAGAGCTTCCACCTGGCCGTGCCAACGCCCACACACGCAATTAGGGTCTCGCTGTTGATCAACTGATGCATGATTCAAAGCCTGTTACGGCTGCAGAGCACACGCAAACACTAACAAAACCCATGCACGCAAACAGCCCAAAACTTTGTTTGCTGCAGGAAAAAATGATGCTGCTTTTGTGTGTTTAATAGATGTCTTGAAAGCTGGGAAGTGTTGTTCTCTTCAAAGATAATTAGAGGACAGTTTCCCTCTAAGATGGGAGGATGTCCATAATTGTGGGATCCATTCTGCAAACAGAAAGAAGAAAGGAAGGGACATGCCTGGTCACTTTGTCATTATTAGCCCTTTGAGTGGTGATGATGATTAATTCAGTAGAAAGCTGGCAGCCTTCCAGTACACTTTGCTTCATTTGTTTTTAACTCTCCTGACCTCTCTCCCTCCTTTTTTTTTGTCCCTGTCTCTTGCTTGGACTTCCTGTCTTGGTGGTCATCTGTTATTAGCCCTAATGCTGCAGGACCGAAGCTACAGGGTACATTAGAGGACTCACTGTAAGCTTGGTGGGTGTTACAGTACAGTAGCTGATGTAGCTTAGCATCTCCATGCTTCCTATTGTACTATATGATGTCTGCACATGTGTGCTCTGAATGATCGGTCTTTTTTCCTTTAGGTGACCACAACTAGTCACTTCACAGCGAGTCCTGTAGGTGTGGCAGTTCCAGAGAGGTAATAAAGAACGTCCGCTAGGCTATTAGGGGCAAAGCTCTCTGCTAATCACATAAGCCCTGAAGGCCAGATGTCACTCCTTGGATTACCAATTCCTGTGCCTGGACTTTACAATAAAAATAATTTGAATTATGGGTTGCGTCACAGAGCATCGTCAACAGTGTGTGACTAAAAGCCTGACAGGATAATCACAGGCACAGACTGATGGACTGATGGACACAGAGCCAGCCTGTTCTTCTTACAGAAAATTCCAAATTCCAGCGTTAAATATCTGCCAGCATGATTATGGATAGTGCAGGGTTTTACAAGGCCAGATCAAGGCTAGCTGCTCTTTGCATTAGCGTTACATGAATTCCATCTCAGTCCTGATCTGAGTCACTCACTGACTCTCTGTCAGTTTTGTGGTCAAAGAGTTCACTTGACATTGCCATTGTGCAATGAACCAAAGGCCACACATGTTCCCCAAAACCAGGACAAAGGCTCTGAAACGCAGCTGACAATCTGCATGACAAATCCGGGCATTCAGTTTCAGTGACTGTTTAAGAAATTCTGCACAGCAGGTTCTGCCACAAAAGTTGTAAAAACAGCACCACAGTTGAGAGCACTGTGCGGGACACACAAAATAGTTGGAATGTTATCTCATGGCAACATACGCAGTCAACAATGTGACCAATTACACTTCACTGGGAAAGCGACTCCAGTCCTCATGAATCACTCTTCACCTAAACTGAAGCTAAAATAGATTTATGATCTAGAAACTGAACAACCAACCTCTTTACGTAAGTTGTCAGAAACATCAGTTTAAAATACCTTCCCTAGAAAATGTCAAGGTCCTGCGGAAGTTTATTTGAATATCTGAACTCTACGTCCAAAGTACAAAAGTGTAAAGGTCCATTGTTGGGCATGTACAATGCTGGAATGCCTTCAGCAACTAAGGCTTTCCATTTAGTATACCCGAAGAACACTATGTGTCCCACACACTGCAATTAAGCAGAGCAGAGAGGCATTTTCCACTGTTTGGAGGCAGCATGCTGAAATGGTAATAGTCAATGTTTTCAGAGAGATTACTTCTCTGTCAGGGGTTTGTTAATCTTCTTTTGGGGAGGATCAGGGTCATTCAGCCTGCCATGTGAGGGTGAGAGATGGACTGAAAGGGAGGGAAGGAGAATAGAGCGTGGAGAGCGGATCCATGAGTGGCCCTCACAATATAGCCTGTGACCTGCTTCTGTTTGCTCTCTTTTAATAAACCCGTCATTTATACTCAGCTGACAACATGACAGAGAGTACTGATGAGGATGCCTTTAGACACAACCTAAACGTCCAATAGCCCATTGTAATTACGCTGCCGGCCAAACATCTGAGATCACCTCCATTTTTCCAGTTTTTATTCTGGCATTTAAGCAGTTCAAGTCCAGTGACTAGTCTTAAATGGTACAAAACAAAGGAGTAAATTGTTAGAGATTAAAAAACTCAAAACATTTCTTGTAAAACAGATCTTTTTAGGGAACAAGTAACAGGTTAACTTCCGTCTTTTCTACAGCAGTGGAAGTAAATGAAGCCTTGAAAATTGATGTAAACAATTACTACAGTGTCCCAATTTCTGTTAATTACTTACAACAACAAATCCTATCTGTACAAAGGCAGTGCTGGTACACCCTCCACAGCATTGTTTGGAAAAAGAGCATTAACAAAGAAAGTCAGACCTTTTCAGGGTTTCATCCTGTAGCAGGATAATGACCCAGAAAACACCTCCAGTCTGTGCAGGAGAAAAGAAGAAGACGGTCGGCTGGCAGCACAGTGTCCAGACTTTCCAGATGAAGAGTGAAAGCAAAGCAACCAAGTGCAACACATTTGTGGGAACCTCTGCCACAGTGCTGTCTCAGACAGTTGTAGAAAGAATGCCACAAATGTGTTTAGCTATTAAGTTACACTAGTAACAACTGAATGGAGGTGATCTCAAACTTTTGTATTTATAAACTGTATTTATAGTTTTTAATATAAAACCTGCTTATAATTTAACTGATCCATGCCTGTAAGTTTTGTACTTAATAAAAATCCTGATTAAAAACAAATGAAGGAAAAGATACACATCTTTTTCGATTGAATAGCATGCTCATTACTTTAAATGTACAGCTGTTCCAAGCTTCATCTGCACCAAAATGTCTGATTGTACAGACACAGTAGAAACATTGGCCGTCACCGTCTGTAGGAGACAGCAGCAGGACCTGTCTGGTGGATGTCCCCTGGCCTGAATACAAGGGGACTATGTCCTGAGGCCTAATGGCCACTGACACCGACAGAGATGCTCTGATGGTCGTGTCTTTTTGCTGGAAAAGACTGAGAAGGAAGCATCTGCATTTGTTTCACAACCTATTTATCACAGTTTTCCTTTGTTTTGGCACCAATATCTATATCTTTTTACGCTGGTGAAAAACCTGTAGCGAGAAAGGTGACAGGGACTTCTGGGTTAGCTCTATCAGTGAACGCACCACTGAAAAGGAACATATTGTCCCTACAGAGCAGCCTAGCTTTACGTTCCTGCCTTCGCGCTGCCCTCAGTGGGGAAGCTGGAGCTTGACACCACACAGTCGCTCTCTCTGTCTCTCTCTCTCACCTGCAGCCACTATTGACCAGTCTGTCTGCTTTTTTTTTTTTAGCTCGCTCATCTCTGCTTATTTATAGAATTGTGCATCAGACGAGCTTGCAGGAATAAACTGTCATGCAGGCTGCAGCTCCATCAGCCTTTCTATTCAAGCTGACCACAACATTTGAGTGGTTGCAATTGCCTCACCATTTCTAGCATATGGACCTAAAAGGCCAACGGAAACTGTTTGACAGACATAAACAGGACTTGCCAGCTTGTAAACCAGCAGCATGCCTGCTGTAAATGTGACACTCCCTCAAATCTCCCCTTCCTGGAAGCAAACAGTCAAAGATACAACATGTTGTGTTAGCTGTGAGATAAGATGTTTGGTCAGCGCTTGTTTAAATGCGCATGCACAGAGACAAGAACACACAAACGCTATCGCGCAAATGTTTATATTTGGGTACACACAGAAGCACTATTACAATAAGGTGCATAAAGCAGCAACTGACATAAAACACAACCCTGACTATGATATTAGCTTAGAGTTTAGAGCAGCCTAGTGTAACTGTCAGTAGATAAGTAGGCCGCTATTCATGTTGTGTGTGGTCATAAAATGACTGGTGTGAGAAAAACATTTGCCTTGTTTATACTGCCCGGTCAGCCTAACCAGGCGCTGAACCAAGACACAGGGTGG